CGTTCAAGTCATCTATTATTTGTTTTCTTGCGTTTAATGTTGGTTTATTTAATCGTTGTTCTTCTGGTATTTTTAAACGTAGTTTTTTAGTTGAAAATAATCGCAACTGTTTTTGAACATTTTTATTGGCTGGTTCTTGACTTACATTTTCATTTAATGAAACAGGAACATTCGATTCTTGTTCATACAGCATTTTCAAATTTGAGTCTAAGGATAAATTAATTTTATGTAGCTGTTCACAATTTAATTTACCTGATTGTGACACAAACATGCTATGAAATTGTTGAATTTTGTTTGCAATGCTAACTGCAGATGGAGCAATAGTTTGATGCATATCAGACATTTTCATACAAATTTCATCTGTATCCATTGGGTTAGTATAATTGTTTTTGGTGTTTATATCATTGTCATCTAACATATTAATTTTCACAGCATGAATATGTTTACACATATTATTTTTTATTGTGTAGTCGTAACATGTGCATGAGAATAGATGTACACAAACTTTACATGCAACACAAATAATTTTACATTCACATGATTCGCGTTTTTTAACTAAATATGTTTGATTTAACGTTTCAGATACCACAGTCCAAGTAATATCTGACGTTTTATTAATATTAGAATTATGTATTTGAACTGCAGATCGATGACGACTGTTAATGGCATTAACATAATGTGTTACTTTTCCACCGTTGCACAACTTGACAAGACGCTCAAAATTCTTGTCCCTCACAGTTTTTAGCAAATTCCAGAGAAGTATATCAAGACGTTGATTTTTTTTCCCCTTTAAATATACATATTTCAATGTCTTATGGAATGCCTCTAATACCATATTAGTGTTAAGCATAGCTTCTTGTCTGTAACATGCAGCCCATAACTGTTTTCGATGTACATAATGACTCACAAAATATGCTTTAAAACTATGTAAAGCTTGTTCCTCTTCTAATTTTCCAAGAAACAAGTTCAGAAGATGTTCAAACTGTGTTACATCAGGTTCCTCCAGTAAAACACGTAAAGTTTTATAAATGTAAGCTTTGACCGTTTGTGTCCCAGCAATCTTCTTTAAATTCTTTCGCCAGTTATTATCAATATGCCATTTACATAATAAATGGAATTTTGGAGTAGGGGACATAGTCTTTGTCCATGCATTCCAAAATGCTGGAGCGTCGTCACTCATAAATACACTTGGTGCAAGACAACCAACCACTTCCTTAATTTTTGAAAAAAAAACACTCATGTGGACCTCATCAATTTTTGTACTTACACAAAACGCAGCTGGATATCCTTCGCCAAATTCATCAATTACTACAATTGTTGTTAGGTTAAAATTATATTGATTGGTGCCGTGAGTGGAATCAATACACAGTTTTCCACTACTAAATTTTTTAAGAACTTCGATTTGTGTTTCAGTCATTATTATCAGCATAAAGTCATTGAGATCTAATGGAAAATGCTCTGTTCCTTGTGTTTTATACATAATTATGGGATTTGAAGAATTTTCAAAAAATCGTTTCACCTGAAGATCAACACTTAAGGCATCAATATCATGAAGTTTGTACTTGTGGAGTAATCCAAACTTTGAGGAAATATTATGTACATCTTTTCGAGTCACAAGATTTTTCTTTTGAATAGTATAATCAAACTCATCACGCAGTTGATCAATTACAATGTTTGGAGGAACTTTACTTTTAACTTTGTCTAAAAGTCCAAAATATTATAAATTAAAAATAAAATTAATTATCTTTGCAAATAAAATTAATATTATTTACCAGCAATTGTTTCTTGAACTTTCTTAGGGATGGGAAGAAATTTTACCTCATTATAATGCCCTCTGTGTGTTTTGCAATATCTAACCTCTACATTATTTTCTTTAACTATTGTTCGTATAAATGAAGGACAGTGTTCATCTAAA